TAATCTATAGTCTAATCTAAACGCTCCGGTGAACAACCTAAGATACTAATTAACGCGCCATCGCGATATACCGATTCTAAGGCGCATTAGCTGCCATGCAGACCGCAGGCAATATACAAAGTTAGAGCTCGTAAAATAACCATCCTGATAAGTTTGCCTCACGTCATTGCCACTTCAATTAGTAAGGGCAGTGAGCCGTTATCGACCGTAAACTTTGGAGTAGATTTTATCACTTTTTTTTCAGAGCCACACCTGCCCACTTTGTGGTGCTGCTCCTCACAAGGTTTCCTGAGTAGGCCCACAGCTTAAAATAGAAGATTGAAAGCAATGTGCTTGTGTGAATTGTGCAACGTCCCCTGGATGGATCAAATGAACGAATTATATCAAATCAGTGACTCACCTTGTAACTGTACTGCCCAAGTTTGCCTACTTCGTTGAATACGGGCGGTTCACAATAGTGTGCCTCCCAGATTTTGAAACGTGTTGGCCAATCACAACGCGCGAAATTTGTCGGCCCCGTTCCAAACGCGCATTGGGTCGACAGATTTCGCGCACGGTGATTGGCCCACGCGTTACAAACTCTCGGAGGCGCACTATTTTGAAATGACCGTATTTACGCTAGTTATCAGTTGAAATACAGTGGTGTGCCTATAATTAATTGAAATTATATCCTCAAAATGCGAGGCATGGTCGAGCAAAAACACAAAGTCATTGAAACCCACGGAATGTACTGGTATTGGGGCCCGGTAACTTGACTGAAGTTACTCTTTACAAGCAAAGCTACAAAAGTCCTTTCCTCGTTTTGTGGTTTTTTATTTGGCGCTTCCGAGGTCGAAAAATTAGTTAGAGAATCGGTTTTCTCGAACGTTTGCAAATAGCACTAGAGAAAAATTGGAAAAGTGGCACCATGTACACCTACTGAAATTCAGACATTGAATCTTTTTCCTTCGTGATACTCCGATCTTACGAGAGTGGATGCTCTGAATGTGGTCGCAAACAAAATGGCCAAAAAACTCTTCCAAGCGTCGCTTTCGTCGCTGGACTTCCACGCTGTAGAGCGCATAAGCAAAACCGAATGTCACTTCTGTTCTCCCCAAATGTGTGTAACGCACGAGTGGCTACACCTGTGGTGTTCAAGTCTCCCAACATCGTGTGCACTTTTCTAATGTGCCTGACTGCCACCTGACATCTCCTCGCTTACCATTGGAATAGAAATTATGTGGTCACAGTGCTCTGTCTTTCTTCATTCACATTTTCTGGACCTTGAAAATAACGGAGTACTCATATAGTGCAGTGACTGAGATGTCTTAAAAAATTGATAATCAAGGTCAGTTTCTGTGGAGAGAATAATTCATTTCAAGTAATTTCTTTCCTTTCCCTTTGATGTCCTGTACATCATTTCTAATTTCCTCGTGGTTGCCTGGAATGCAGACAAAAAACCCCAAAGGTTGCCTGACTATGTCTCAAAATCATTCTGAGACAGCTTTGACATCTACATTAAGGGACTTAACCAAGCGTTAAATTGCATATTTTGAGAGGCCTAGAAGGCAAGACCATGCGGAGAGTTCGCTGAATGTTTCAAACTCTGGCAGTCTCACACACTGAGAGCATAAAGTTCTGGTTGGAATGATTCAGTGGCAAGTATATTTGAAGCGGGCATGCGCAGTGAGTGCATGTTACAGGCCGCATTGACAATGTTCGCAAGCAAGGGCCGTCTGCATTCGCCCTCGCAGTTCATGCCTGAGGGAAATCGCGGCTGGCGTATCAAACGGCAAAGAAAGCCAGAGCCGACGTTTATTGATTGAAATTGCACGAGAAAGTGGGCGAAATGGATCCGTCGTCTGCAAACGTCCACATGATTTGTGGAGTAGTTACGAAAATGGCGAAATGACTTCTGAGCAGTATTGTGTCGGTTATAAAAAAAATTATTGATTCTCGTCGCGCAGTGTGTAAATCTATCAACTGCTCATGTGAATGACTTGGGCCGAGACGTATTGTACAGCATATTCATACTTGCGAGCGCAACCGGCAGCCCTGCACTTTCGGAATTTCTCAGAAATGATTGGGTTATTTGTTCTGATAAACCGAGACAAAGATTTGAATTTATTTCTTATGGAATGAAAAGGATTGTCTTGAGTCTTTGGCCCCATCCTTTTCTGTACTGGGGTGATTCTTCGGTGACCAAATTTAACAACCCACCGAGATTGATAAAGGAGGTTTTTACAGCAAATTGTCAGTAATACATTATCATATTGCACCGGAATTAGCTTAACGTAGGAGCAGTATTGAAGCGTCATGGGCACAGTGGGGGGGGGGGGGGGTTGGGGGTAAGGAAATATTTTGGAAGTCCATGATTTGTGTCC